ATTCGATGGAGATTACTTTCGCCTGGGACTTCTGCATGCTGACAAAACAGGTAGAACGACGTAGAAAATCAATTGAATATGTAAAGCATATTCCTACCTCGAGCGCAGTGCATTGACTTGAGATGATTTCATAAGATGTACCTTTCTATATATTTTTTTCTATTATTACATCTCATATTCGCTTGATGCTCAGAAGGTATGTTTCAGTTGAATTAAAATGCAAAACGTAGATTGTCAATGCGAACGGTTGTTTTGTCACCCAAACACAAAAGAAAATTGAAACTGGGTTGAATGGCAACTACAAAATAAGAGGTATCAAATCATAAAACTATTTAAACAATTATGCCATCAATTTATTTAAGTTTGTACACCCTAAATGCACCGAGCATACACGAAACAGCACTCCGTTTATTTTGTTAAATGTGTATATGGTTTCATTCGTTTGTGTTGTAAGTAAGACCGAAAATTGCTATCTCTGGCCTGACACTGTCATTGAAATTAAATACAAAAACAGTTTACTCTAGTTGTCTTTTGTATCGTAAACAAAGACGTATTCGAGTTTCACACATTCACCGTCGGTTTAGACAATGCAGGAAAAAAAGCGAAAAAAATTGTTTATTCGGTACATACACATTGGCCCTAGCAAACATGTGGTAATTCAATCACAAAAAAAAATCAAGGATTTATTTCGACGTACATATACTCACATACACACAAAAGAGACACTTTAGGTATAACATCGGTACACATGTTATTCGATTGCTGTACTTTTATATTATTATTTTTTCTTCGGTGCAACAATGAATTGGGGAATCTTGACGACAAAAATAGAAAGAAACGAACAAGAAAAAAAACCCAATACGGAAACTATTCGATTTGTAAGACTATTTGAAGTGCAAACAAGCGAAAAGAAATAAATAAATACTACGCATTTACTGCTGACTCTCTTTTCTTTCTATATTTACGCTGACTGAGCATTTTGCACTATATTCTTTCGATTTTTTTTTTCAAATACCTTGTTGCAATTTTTCTCTGTTCTTGTTGCTGCTACGTGAATTTCAGCAATTGTTGGTTGGAATGCCACATAATTTGTAATGAAATAAATGCTATTTTTAAATGCCCTTTTTCGTAGCTCCATCATGACACTGTATCTTCGTTCCTTCGTTCTTTCAGCGCGGCACTTTTTTTCCCGGGCAAATATTTATTTGGAATTCAGTCAAGAGTCTTTCAACATTGCAAACGTGTACACATCCCGAAAGAATTCCAATGTGATCGCTTGGTTGAATTCATTCTTTTTTGTTGTTGTGTGGCATTTATGAAATTCGTGAATTCAAATAGAATGCGACGCAATAAACATCTGATAAGACAGATCGACTGCTAAATATAGAACAGAGCTTAAAATTTGATGTCGGTCGACAGTTCAAAAATAGCAATTACATTTGGTCAAGTTTTCTCTGCTCTCTCTCTCTCTCTATCTCTCTCTCTCTCTCTCTCTGTGCGCTGGCATGCAAGAGTGTAATTGCATCTCTTCTGGTTCTTTATGCACTTATTCAAATCAAATGATAAATAGTTCCCCGAAGAATGTCTCATTCGTAACAAGTTCTTGAAAAGGAACTCATTATACGTTTTCTGTATTTTCTTTTCACTTGAAAAAGAGCGAACAACTCTGACTTTCTGACTTCACAATGACACACCATTTAGCACCACTCTTCATACTCGACCATTTAAAAATGAGTATACAATGATTCTTCACAATGCTGTGTGAAAAAAAATACAAACGAATAAATGATGAAAAAAAAACTGGGTAAAAAGCAGGAGCGAGTACTTTTTCTGTCGTACGTTTCTACAACTTCGTCTAACTTTTATTGTATCAAGCCAACAAAAATGTAATAAAAGTAATGCAAGAGTTTATATACCCTTATTAAAAAATGACGACGTCTTTGTAACAATTTCAATATTTAGCACAGTATCAACAATTCAACAACAAAAAAGGGAAAAAGAGTGGCGAAGAAAGCGCGAGAAACACTAAACAGAAGCAAAAAAAAAATTATAACATGTTGATGGCGTTTAAAAAAGGCACGTGTTGAAATTGAAATATTGTCGATTTCTATTTAAAGGTGTGCCAAGATAACTAAGTCAAGTGATTTTTTAAGTGACACTTTACTGAGCAAAAAAATTGTTGGCAATGGGAAAATGCCGAGAGTTATGGAAATACTTTTGCACTAATGGCATGAATGAAAATCCACTCGAAATACACTTTATGCACAACGCTTATGCACACTTGCAAGTTGCGCCCGCTCTCTCTCTCTCTCTTCCTCTTATTTCGCTCATTTCTATTTTCATCATTCGTTTCGTTTCGTTTCGTTTAATTTCACTTAAACCACCGTCAAGCACGACAGGGGTTGTTATGTGACAATTTTTATATTGTCGTCGCATTTCACATTAATCCACCATCGCTTGGTTCGTAGTACCTACCATACACAGTGTATTTTGGGTAATAAATTCATTTTTATGTTCGTTTACAATATTTTTCATGTTGTGCGCATAGACGCTGTATGTGTGTGTGTGTTTCGAGAACGATAGTTATTTTTATAGCTGCAAATCGAACAACGCTCAATGGCCTAATAGTAGAAAAAAGTGCATGCATTTCCAAAGAACGTGCGTGACGCGTATGATTAATTTAATGTGTTGTCGAAAGGGCGTAACATATTCAAGTATGTAAGTGGAATGCTTGATATGGTTCTGAGATGATTTTTCAATGCACGCGGAAATGGAAAAGGCAAACGGACCAACGGCAAAAATTACACATAATTTGCTGCGACAATGCCCGAGATATGATTTTCCACAGCTTGTTCATTGAGATTTCACAGATGACAAGTGAAACGAACAGCACCGTGATTGGCAAAACGAATGAAATAAATGACATGGAAAGTGCATAAGGCATTAATCGAATCAAAGTTCAACTGCTGTTGAAATGTTCGTTCTCTAAATGTTATCCAACAAATCGCAGCGTAGCTAAAGCACATTCTTCATGGGAACTGTGTGATTATATTTCTTGCCATTAAAAATACCGCGTCGTTCTCTCTTTTTTTTTTAATCCGAACCATAAACGAGCGCGAAATGAAATTGATTCTTTTACTTGCGTTCACTTAATAATGGGTGCGTAATTTCGCGACTGACATTGTTAAAAATGTATTAAAATCATTTATCAAAAAAAAAACTGTCTCGTGAGACTTCAAACGATAATAATTTTCCATATCTCTCATTTTTTTGTTCTTCCCGTGCCGCGTTTTCCTTTTCATTTTCAGTCTTCGCACGGAATAGATAAAGATGCTATGATTCATCGTTTGCCATTGCTCTACTCGGTGATTGTCTATCTATCTCTCTTCCTCTCTTTCTATCTCTTGTGCCGCCGTTGATTGTACATTTTATTTTGAGATAATTTTGCACCACCAATATGTCCTGGGGTATCCCATGACAATTTCGCTTTTGCAAACGCTCACAAAACGCAAAATGGGAAAATAGATTGATCTAATTTTCAAGCGAGCACAGAAAAATTGGAAAAGTCGGGCAAAAGAAAAAATTGTATACCATATAAATATTACTTAAGATCCGTAATAATGAAAAAATATGGCAAAACAGATATGGAAAACAAGAGACAACGCCAGGACAAGAACACATTGGCTGAAAGTTACATTCCAGCAGTAAATCGGATTGAAGAAAAACTTTGACGAGATGTACACACAGGATAAAATTAGATTTTCCAACAGTTTATCGCAAACAATAAATTGTAGATTAATGTTGAATATTACAGAAGTACTTTTAGAGTATAAACAGAAATTGAAGCGACGAGTGAAGAGGCGACCGCTATTTAAACCATCATTTTGCAGATTTGCACATTAATTTAATTATTATTAAACGCAGAGTGTGTCTGGCTTTGAAAATAACTCATATACGTCGTGTGTACACAGTAAAACTGTAATCTAGTGGTGTATGGTAAAGGCGAGATAAAACTATAAACAAAGCCGGATACAATGCAAACACCGACATAGTAAAAAGGAATCAGGTGAATCAAATCAAACATATCTACAACGGAACAAATTATTCGAATGTATTTACACAAGAATTCCGGTTCGTTCACTGGATGGTTCGCTTTTTTTATTATATTACCCGCCTATCGTTTATATCGTCTGAATGAATGCGGTGTGTCACAGATATCAGCCGAGTTTTGCTGGTAGATATAATTAAATTCGAAGTGAGGCGCATCGAGGAAATAACCTATCAATGGGATGTAACATTTTATTGAACTCTATCACTTCGAATATCAATAAAACATGCCACATGGCAGGCAAAAGTGAATAAATTTCTTTTATCGTGACATTCGCATCTCAAAGAACGTGTGTCAAAAGGCGGCAACAAACTATATACGCTGTTTCTATTATTATTATTATTTCTGTTATTATTGAAATGGTATTGGATCTATTGGCATCGATAAGATAAGAGTGGATCGTTTTATTGCATACATAATTGATTTGAAAAGTAAGTCTTGAGCTGACAAATAATTTCTCCCCACGTTTTATTGCACTTAAGCCGATCGAAGATTTCACTCACGCACACACATGCAAACGCACACGCACATTCAATACGGCGGCCCAGGACCATGTTCACTCGCAAGGAAACTAATCCGTATTTCGATATATTTGCATTGACAAAGTCGATCGATGTTTGTTTTATGTATCGAAGGGTATTAAATATTGACATATGCCAGCCACTGCCGCCTTTCATTTCAACGCTTCGATTAGCATGCATTTTCAAAGGCCATAACCATTTAACATTCACGGCTGATTTACATTTATTAATTTTTGTTTCGTTTGAATAGGAGCTAATTTTCTTCTTAATGCCCGCGGAAATTCGGGCCGAACAAGTAAATGTTGTGAATTGAGAAGGAAGAAAAGATGAAAATTAAATTAAAAAAGGCAATTAATAGTGCTTGAACTTACCCGCATTGCATGTAATTAAAACGCGTTGCCGTTTTTCCAACTTATTGTGGTCATAAATTAACACAAAGTATCCAGTCTAGAACATCAGTCTTCTTCGCTCTTACTGTTTGAACGTGAAACGATGCGTTCTCTACACTCGTTTCAAGTGTTTTTGATGCTTAAAAAACCTTTAGCAGTTAAATTAAGTTGCAACAGTCAATGATGCAGTCAAATGAACATGAACCACCGTGCCGTGCAACATTTACCAAATGAATAATTTAAACAATGTCAACCGTTTGTTTATTTGAATTCGATTCAGTTTTACAACGATTTGATGATGCACAAACAACCAACCAAATGCACAAATTTTTCGGTTCAACGAAGAGTTCAACTTATATTCACTTGATACCACTGCTCAATTTTATATATTAAATTATATGGAGCGTCTGCAGTTAGATTGGACAATCGTTGTATGTTGGCGAGGCAAACATATGAACGCGTCCAATGTAAACTACGCTTGATTTTATGCACAATTCTATATAAATTGTTCAGCAAATTTAATATAAAATTGCAAATTTATTACATGAATATTTATTGGCGCAATAAGTTTGTTCTTTTTTTTGCACTGAATTAAAAATCCATTTTTGAAATGACAACACAGATGAGCACACAAAATGAACTAATCCTTTAATTCTTTGAAACACAGCTTTTTTGTTCGACGAGAACAATAGCAGTCAGACCAAAGCACAATTCAATTCAACTAAAATCCTTTATCAAAATGCGAACACTCAGTCACCACATCTGTTCACGACTAATCTCAGCAGACGAATGAACACCACTATCTTTCGCATCGTAGTCATTCACTTCACTACGCACAGTCGGTGTCTGTCGCATGCACGCACATCTCTCATCGGCTGCTGCAGCAACGCTCGGTTTGCGACCATAAATCCTTTCCGCTTGAGGTGAATCAGTGCGTTCGTACGGAGCGTATTCAATGTCTGCCAAAACCAACACAAATCGATGATAAACAAACTGGATATCCTTAGCGTAACGCTTGAGATAGTCATATAATTCTATACTACAATAACTGACTCATACGCGAACTCAATATACACTCAAACGCTTGCGGAAAGTTTGTTATAAATTACAAAAAGAAATTTATATTCATCTATATGGCAGGCGACAAAGACTCACTCGTCGAGGGTTCATTGAACAGTGACGATTGAGTGAAACTATAAACAGAAATTCAATTGAGTTACACTCAAAGAACAACTTTTAATTACGATGATAGAATGGATATGAGCTTTCCACGTAAGTACTCTTAAGTACAGAAGCATTTACTCACCGTACAACTTCATAACATATTCAAATTGGATTTATTTTGATTCAGAAACAGAATTTCTTATTATCTTATTATAAACACAAAGTAGATTTATTCAAAAGTTATGACTGGTCAGAGAAAACATGGCTTGGCCCTTTTTAATGCAATGCTATTTTACATATTTTTTTTTCTCTATAATTTCAACTCAGAATGTCATTTGAAACACATATTAATTGATTGTAGATAGCCATTCAAAAAGGGCAAAAAATATTTGAAAATTGATTAAAAACATTGATTTTTTTAATTCTATTTTCTTGATTAGCTTGAACCTAACAAATCTTTATTTGATTCTAGTACATGACATGTACTACATGTATGTATTATTACTTTGATTTGATTTTTTATTTTTGTCTTAAGTGATAGTTGGCATTTTTTGCCAAATTACCATATGCCTCATAAATTTGCAGATGATTAATATTGACCATAATATTTTCTATGTGCTTTTGAATAACATTGAGCCTAATATTCAACATTTGAAATATTGCAAAAACCTTCTTTACTTACATTCACTTCTACGTGGTTTTATTTCTTTTTGCAATGATCATTTATCCATTCTTTCTCTTTTTCTCACATGCTTCATCTCTTTTGACATCATGTTGGGTACATGATATTTTCGTTTCTTTTTCGCTTTACACATGCAAAAGATCTGTTCTTTTAATCGTTTAATTTAACTGATTACATTAACATTTTGAAATGTAAAAGATTCAAATTCAACCCTGTGTTGAAACAAGACCAAAAAAAGGAACATCATTAAGGAACTGAACTCATTTTCGTAGAATTTGAAAAAAAAAAAATAATGTGCTATCACATCTTTACTGCAATCTCAGTTTTCACCACATACACAGTGTACACAAAAATCAATGTAGCCTAGAAAAGTGCAGAGAAAATCAATTTTAGTAAGCGAAACAGAAAAATATACACAAAACCACACACTCACAATCTTTCGATTGTCACACGAGTTTTGAAGCATACAATTTTGAAAAGATGTTGTTTTTGTTCGATGGCATCATCATCACCGATTCAAATGCTGCTTTGTTTACATTTATATTTGGTCGATGTTTTTTTGTTTTTGCTTCTCTCCTCTCTTATTTCTTCCAAAACAATAACTTAATGGTTCGATTGAAGTTACTCTGTTGCTTAGGTAACTACGCCAATATAGCTGCAGATTGATTTGTTTATTTGTTTACTTTTGTAGTAATACGCTCGTCCTAAACCACCAAATATGAAAGATATAATTCTTCTTCTTTCTCTTCTTTCGTGTGTATTTTTTCTACGAATGAACGGAGAGTCGCGAACAAACAAATAAATAATTGTAAGCAAAATATCGAAAGAAAAAGTCCAGTCAAGAAATGACCAAATCATTACACTTTCAACATGAAAACAAAAGGCGGGATTATTTTAATATTTTTTAGAATTTCGTCTAGTTTTTGTTGCATAAATATTTTCTTGTCTTAATCTGAGATTTTCTTGTCTTAATGCATTGATATTGGTTTCCAGCATGACACACGTTTCAGATTGAATGTTTACTCTGAAATCGTAAATTAAAATGATTCCTCGAATTGAGTCGAATGGAAACTTTATTTTTTAACGTTTTTTTCTCTTCACACATAAACAATTGAAAACATAAGTTGTTGAAGATTGGTGACATGAAGTCACGAAAAAATATATGGCAATGAAATATAAATCGAACTGACACAATCAAACGATGTATACATAATTGGTGTTTCAGTATTAGCGAAAGACACACACTCATGTTAAATACTGATTTTGAAACCGTAACTGAAAATTGCTACAATCGCGTTTGTGTATTGGTAAACGTCAAGCAGAGCGATACCACAGTTAACGTTATATTTGAAATCGACATGATTACTTTGTTCAGAAGCGCACAGATAGAATGTTGTGAAATTCTAATTATTTTTTCAAGTCCAGATTCTTTGATTATCAATTTATTTTGTATTAAAAATTCGGTGTCCAATTTTTTGATGGTTTTATTAAAATAAAAATTCAATCCACACATTTCCTTCGTTTTTTTAGAAAATTATATTTGCAAAATCAGTGACTAAAGTTTTTTGATTTTCGAAATTTTACGAAATGGCATCTGCAGACCAACAAGATATACCTCGAATTTTTGAAACTGATATTATACCACTTCGATCAACGGGTCAATTCATTGTTTGTAAGCATCTCGAACGCATCCAGAGAATCGAACAAGCGAAAGGTCTTTTCCTGAAATCCAAATTTATTACATATGCCAAAAACGATGTAAAATATGCGACATCATTTAAGAAAGAATGGTGGAGGGTCCGCGTAAAAGAAAAATATCGACCAGATGGAACTACAAAACGTATTGTTGAACACTTGGATAAGGACGGAATAATCGACCTTCATCCCCGAGTTAAACTTTACACATTACACCCCGACCTTGGCAGAATTCCACCAGCTATGGCGAAAATATTCATTTTTGGATTAGTTAGATGTGCGGACAACCAAAATGAGACCAAGTTCAAATGTCAATTCAAAAATTTTTTTGGAAAACAAGCGATTGGAATTTTTCTTCGTATCAACGATAACCGATTCATTCCCACGTATGCGGGAGACATAATTTTCAAAGATTTTGATGGAATTTATAAATCGTTTCGCGATGTGTTGCTCGAAAATCAGCTAGCACGTGCAGCCAAAATGGACGATCCTCACAACAAAATATTGGCACAACGACAAAATGCCGTATTGGCCAGATTAAATGCGGCTTTGCTTTTACCGTCAGCAAAACCTCGAAACAAAAAATGCACTTACAACCAAGCTTTTTAAAAAAAGAAACAAAACATGCATTTTGATTATAGTGTGTTCAAACTACCAATAATTGACTTCTAATAATCAGGCTCACCACAGTTAAATAGAAACTTCATGATTTAAATAAAACGAATAATAGCAACTAATTTTTTTTCTATTTCGTAATAATGACTTTTTCCTTCGCACAATATAAAGATAAATCTCATTAAAATAATTCAACTTAATTCTAAAATTTTGTTACTATATTACAGAAAAATATTTGTCAAACAAATCATGACCTAAATAAAAATAAAAAGAAAAAGTAGTGATGTTTTGTCATTAGAAATAGCTTAATTCGATTACGTTCCCGTTGAATGTGATTCCAAATGTTTCTTCAGCAACTTATTCTCCGGATAAACTTTCGAGCAAATTGGACAGATATGTTTCTTTGTAAAGATCCCATGTATGCTATATTTATGACGTTTAAGGTCGATTTCAAACTGAAAATCGAATCAACAAAAACAACAAATTATTTACGAAATCCAAAAGAATGAGAATCAAAGCCCACATACCATATAAGCCCGCTCACAAGAATCAATATTACATTTGAACGGTTTATGACCTGTGTGTACTCTGGTGTGGGCTGTCAGATTGGTTTTCCGGCCAAATGCTTTTTGACATCCTTCAAATTTACATAAATAAGGTTTTTCGCCTGTAAACATGGAATAGAGACAAAAATTCGATTATAAGACGTACAAAAATCAAATACATTTTTTATTACCAGTGTGTCGATTTGTATGCTCCTTTAAATTGTGCAGCTGATTGAATCCCCGGCCACAATACGTGCAAACATACGCTTTACATTTCAAATGTATCTTCTTGTGCGAATTTAAATTGCCTGGCGTTGAAAACGTCTGGCCACATTCTTGGCAAGAAACCCGTTCGCCTCTCTGGGTGACACAATGCATATTTATGATATGATTTCGTAGCGATGAAAATGTGCCCAGAGTTTTATGACAAATATCGCAGATACAGGATGCCTTTGGACGATGGTCCATAAATGTTGCTTTGTTTGAGACTTGTTTTCGATATTTTCGCTGTTGTTTTGAAATCGATTTTATCACCATTTTTGAAGTGTCAGTTTTTGCTGTAGTTTTTGAAATATTTTTCAACTTTCGAGGTACGGTAATTTCTGGCAACGATTTTACTTCAATGTGATCGAGTAATTTCATTTGCGCCTCTTCAAATATATTGCCACGCTGCGAGTCTTCTGAATCATAATCGTTTGCTTCTGATTTTAGACTGGCACCATCTTCTAGTGTAAAATCGAACATCTCTGTTTTCACTTCACTCAAAACTTCGTTTGGTTTTTCATTTTCCTTATTACATTCCGCTGACGTATGCAGCCCATACCAATCACCATTTATTGAAATTAGTATATTTTCACAGGTTGAACATATTTTATTTTTAAAATGAGTTGCAGTGTGTTTGATGCGGCAATTCCTCGACAGAAAAGTCTCATCGCAGTAGTCGCACCCGAAATCGACCGCTGAAATGATGCAGAAATTCTTCTTTATTGTGGATTTTTATTGAGTGGATCATTGTGGTACTAACCTTCGCTTTGTGGATGGTGCATGAAGGATAATGTTTCCATTCTGAATTTAAAAAATTTGATCCCACATCTGAAAAATGCTTCTTGTTTTTATGTTTATTGTGGCTTACTTTGTTTGACAGATACTCGTTTGACATGTAAAAAATACTCACCAGCCAAATATGTCAGGAATCCACTTTTTGAGTAATAAAAAAAATACTCACTGCCACTGAGTGACAATCGAATCCTAATTTCAAATTGAAGCTTCTAAATATAACTGAAGATTTTTAGAGGAAATAAAATACTTGCAGCTTTGATTGAATTTTTGAAATACATTAATTTATTTTAAACAAATATATTTCGATGTTTGAGTATCTTCTTCCCTGCATATAAAGTTATCACCAATTTTTTCTTTATGGAAATGCTTTCTTTCGACTTCGAATAAAAATCAAATTAATTGTAATTTATTTATTTTGACGATGATTCATCCTTGGGTTCGGGTATATATTCTTTAGCTGTGTTGTTTGCATGTGCTTTGAGATGCCGTTGGAGATGATACTTGCTCTCTGGAAATTCTTTCGAGCAAATGGGACAGGCATTTCGATTCTTTACTATTCCGTGTCGTCTGGCTCGATGTCTTATCAAGCATTGCTGATAGGCAAACTTCCATTCACATCCATCAATACCGCATGCCAAATTTTTCACTTTACTATGAACATTTTTTATGTGTTTTTGAAGATAATGCTTATATAGAAATTCTTTACCGCAAGTTTCACACGATATCGTGGTGCCCGAATGTGTTTTTTCGTGCATAATCATTTTCGATCTTTCTGGGAATAAACGTCCACAGATTGAGCACATATGTTTTGTTTCCACCTTTGGTTTGACCACTTCTGGCTTAACGGTAGAATGCTTTAGTGTTTCATGTTGCTTTAGTCGTTTCTTCGTCATGAAATCCTTTTTACACTTTGAACAAGGATATCGCGTTTTGGATTTTTTCGAATGCTTCGATTTCATGTGATCTTCCATCGAATAGAAGCTGGATAAGACTTTTTTGCAAATATCACATTCAAAATTGGACACCGGACGATGAGGATGGGCACGGAAATATTTGTGCCTTTTCACAAGATTTTCTTCGACAACATTTGCGATTTTTTCTTCGACCTTTGTATCGCTTTGATGCCGTTTCATATGCTTCACCAAATCATGCCGATTTGGATATGAACGATTACAAACACCACACATGAAGCTCTCCAAACTGGTATGATTCGAAGAAATGTGCTCCTGTAGCAGTTCGTATTTAGGGTATATCATACCACAAGTGTTGCAAACAAATGTACTATTCCGTTGATGTGGTTGATTAATTGTGTATGGCCGTTGTTCGTTAGACTCATCATCTGTGACATTAATGCTGCGGGTGTTATTTTCATGGATTTTTTTGTGCTTTGTAAGGTAATAACGATTTGGAAAGCATCGACCGCATTTAGTACACCGATAACCATTATCATCGGAATGCTTCGATCGAATGTGCTCAGTCAGTTTGTGGAATTTCGTAAAAGTAAGGCCACATTCGTCGCAATCATATGATGACTTTGTTTCATTTGGATCGGGTCGTAAGTATTTATTTCTAGCAACTAGATCTTCATCCAAATCTCCTTCGAACTGATCTATTGATATGCAATTTTTTTCCAACTCCTCGTGACGCTTCATGTGCTTTGCCAAGTAGTATCTATTCGGATAAAATCGATTACACTTTCGACACAGAAATGTAGCTTCGGCTGAATGTCGTGCGGTTTTGTGCTCCATTAACATGTTATGATGTTTGAAAACTTTTCCACATTCATCACAGGTCAAATCTTGTGTTCGTTGATTTGGATCATGTCTGTGATATTTATTGCGTTCCATCAAACCTTTGTCAAAATCCTCATCCGCCGGTTGATGCTGACTGCCATTCTTGTGACGTCCAATGTGTTTTTGCAGATAATATCTACTGGGATAGCAGCGTCCACAGATGCGACATCGAAAACTATCCCGAGCTGAATGATTATTGCTCATGTGTTCTTCGAGGATATCAAAACGCGATATTTTTTTGTTGCAAATATCGCATGTAAAATTCGATTTCGGTCGATGCGGATGTACTCGTGTGTATTTACGTCTTTCCATCAAATCTGTATCCAAATCAACGTTTTCTGTATCACTGGCTTTACCTTGTTTGTGCCGCAATAGATGTTTGCTGAAAAATAAAAATAAAAACAATTTGAACTATTGCATTTTTTGGATGTATGATGGTTTTGTTTGTTACCTCAAATAATACCGGCTCGGATAGAATCGTCCGCATATGCGACACTCGAATGAACATTCATTTGAGTGAACTTCTTTCATATGATCTTCAAGTGTACGGAATTTTTTCAATACATTGCCACATAAATCGCATTGGAAATTTTCTTTTGGCCGATGCGGATGAATAAACCTCTTGAAAATCCGTTTTCGATTATTCCCGGCACATCTTTTCAAATGTTTATCCAATTGTTGAAACGATTGGAATTTTTGATTGCAATGCTTGCATTTTGTTTCATTGTCAACACTATGATAGCTTTGAATGTGGTTGTCCAACCAGAAACGGGTTTGCAATACTTTGTCGCAAAATCGACACTTGATTCCTCTGGTGCGTTTAGTTTTTTCTGTTTCAACTGTTTCTTTCATCTTAATATTGACAACGCGAAACTTTAACTGTGGCTTTGAAAACTGCTGACTGTAGGCCATTTGTTGTGGAACATTGGCGGTGTTTAAGTTATTTTCAGCAATTTCAAGTGTTGTATTTAGAGACGTTGCAAACACCTCACCGAAATCATTAAAATCGACGTCAGTTTTTACATCGAGCAATTCATCCAATTCAACTGTTTCCATTTCGGCTATGGGCTCCTGTTTGATCGTGATGCCATCATCGGCTGCGTTATTGGTGCCGAACGAATGGATGTGATTGTTGTTTTTACAATTGGCTGTTGTGTGAATTTCATACCAATCGTTGCAAATTTGAAAAAGACGTACATTACAGCCTGAACATGTACGACTTTTGAAGTGACTGTATGTGTGTAGCTCAAATTCTTCATTTATGGCGAAACTTAGAGGACAAAACTGACAATAAAGCCAATCGTTGACATCTGTGAAATATAATAAAAATATGTAATACCATTTTACGGATTCGACTTTTGGCTCAACTAACCTTCCTTGATGGACGCCAGATGCGAAACAACTGAATTACTAACTGAAGCCATCATTTATGAATTTTAATTTCAATATATCTTTTTTTTGTCGATATATATGTCCATTGAATAATGTTATCTTAATTGGTTTCGTTTATATTGAACTGTCAAAATTCATACTCAACTTCTAAAAAAACATCTCAAACGTGAAGTTGGTTGATTATCATTTTAAAGTTTGAGTAGAAAATATTGTTGAGGTTATGTCGATTATTGTTTACCTCTATTTGATGAATGTTTTGAATGTAACAATTAACATTGTGTACTATGTTTCTTTTATTTTTTTTTATTCATGCGGAATGAGTAGAGAGAAATGCAAATTTTTAATTTTAATAGCGAGGGTATTAAAAATATTTACATAAAATGTAAATTAGTAAATTTACTCAAAATGCCCTTTTTAATGTTTAATTAAAAAAAAAACATTGCGTATATCATTTAGTGAAGCAATCATACTTTTTTAAAAATTATCCCGCAAATATGGTTCATGTTATAGAAACAACAAGGAAATATAGCTATATTTTAATGCCAAATAATATTTGACCTTGAATTTCCCATCAAACTTTTAATAATTTAAGAAAACCATTGTTAAAACCAATTCCCGATTATTGAATTGCATTGGCAATAGTTGATTTCCATAATAATTGAGAACTATAACTGAAAGTCAAAAAAATTAATGAAAAACGGCGAAAGTGAAAAATTTGTTTATAGATAAAATGTAATCTACAAAGTATGAATTTGTGACAGCGATCGAAACAACAAATGTCAAACTAAATAACAGTATTATTGTTCCCTATGGGGGTTCAAGGTATTTGATTTAATTTCAAATTTGAAATCGTCATTTACTACAGGACTCCTTTCTAATTTCCGATAGAATAATTATAAACAAATATTCAAATTGAAAATAAAAACTGGTCTCCCCTTCAAATAAAACAATTTTCGATGGAATTTTCATTAAATTCATTTTAATACGAAAAAATCTAGATTAACATTTATGAGATCGGCTTGCATGGTTTCTCAAAAGTTTCGGTTCATAAAAAACTTTGTTGCAACCATCGTGCGTACACGGATAGGTTTTATCGCCATCGACTATTTTGTGGACAGCTCGTTGATGTCTCTTCAAGTCACTGTTATAGGCATACGATTTCTCATTGCAAATTTTACAAACGTATGGTTTTTCACCGGTGTGAGTGCGTTCGTGTAACTTCAAAGCTGATGGTGTTCGGTAGGATTTGTTGCACGTCTTGCACACGGCCAAGTATTTATTGTCATGGATTAGTTCATGTTCGATCAGGTTTGCTTTGCGATTAAATTTCTTTCCACACGTCTTACAATGGAATGGTGTGGCCTTCTCGTGAACTTCACGTATATGTTTTCGCAAATATTTTAATTTGGCAAATGTTCGATTGCATTGTGTACAATCAATGCGATCCTCCGAAATGACGCATTTGTGTTTCGCACTCACATGCTTGTTGTATGCGTCCTTCGAATCGAACATTTTTTCGTTGCACAAATCACACTTGAATCGATCCGAAACCACAAATTCTTTACATTTTCCGGTTGATGTATGATGGTTGAAAGCTCGATCGCCGACAAATGTACGCAAGCAATGTGGACATTCAACTGTTAAAAAATGATCTTCAATGTGCTCATTCCGTTCGGTGACGGTGATAAATTCACGATCACAAATATCACAAGTTAGATGATGATTCGATGTAGTTTGTTTACAACTTTCGGCTTCGGTGTCATCATTATTATTATAGGATTCGATGCTCTCTTCCTCTTCTATCAATACTTCGTCTTCCGTCACATACACTACCGATTCTGTTCAAAAGAAATTCACTTCAATTTACTTGTAATTGAAATGAAGAAGAGAAAAAACACAACTCACCTTTCAGTTGGTGATGTTCATCTGGTTGTAATTCATTATCTTCACACAACATGTACACGGACTCTTCATCTATCACATTTTCTTGGCTTACAATTTCATAAATATTATCATTTTGAACTTCGATAAATTCAAATTTCGCTTCTTTCTCCATTTTTACTTGAATTTCTATTGAACATGAACAAACAAAAAAGTAATTTGTGCTGATTACTGCATTTAGAATCAAAAGTAAAGTCGGAGTTTAATGTTTGCAAACTGTGACTTTGACAACCATCGTAGCCATCTGTCAAACGAACGCTCGAACTGTCAAAACGATAAATTCCCTTACGGAAACCATTTTTTTGTTCGTTTTCTCTCTCTTTCTCCCCTTTTCATCCAGTCAGTCTATCGCATAAAATGTGTTGCGCTGGGACATAAGCAAAACTGCGAATTGCGTAAAACAATTGCCGAGGATAAAACTAAATGCGAAGTAGTGTGAAAAAAAAAACGTATTAACTTTGGAATCATTCACTCATTTATTCAATTCAATTAGATTAAATAGTTGCATATGCATTTATCCAAGATTTTAAACAATCGAATTACAAACAAGTGGAAGCTGACAATTTGATAGTATTAGTGTTTTGTTGTAGTGAAAATTGGCGATATTTTTTCGCAGCCGTCGGCATTGAGACATAATATTATTTTTATTTATGTCATCATTGAAATACCTACCCGTTGACACCACATCAAGACACACTATAGCTAGAGAAGTGCAAGCATCGACAATAAGCAGCTGTAGCCGTAACTGAACACGATATATGACATTTTGTGGAAAAGAAAGAGACCAACAAATAGTTCGTTTATGTCAGAAAATCATCACACACAGCAATCAGTAATTAAAGTGTTTTTTTTTGTTCGTTGATTTCTGATATAAATGACGAAAAATCAAAAAGCCATATAAAAAAGACGACAATACGACTACACGAAATTTCGATTGAATTTCCATTAGAAGGCAAAAATAGTCACATCGATGATTTAATATGTCAAATTTTCATCGCCAAAAATCAATCGTCGTCGATAAGTAAATTACAATTCTCAAGTGGTTTTGACAAAAAATTGAATGAAAAAAATCTCTTTGGTGCCTAAATTAACATATTGATGTGTCAAAAAAAAAAACAACACTGATGTTCATTGTCAACATAAAAACACAATGAACGTGTTCTAGCAAAGTATTTTATTCGCATTTTAAACGTTGCAGCAACCATTATATGTGTAAAATTCATTTTTCATCGTTTTTTGTTTGATTTTTTTTTTGTTTTTATATTACTTTATTTTCGTTGCATTTGCATATTATTTCGACTATATAAGTTGGCGTCGTATGAAGTCAATCGCGTGACTACGAAACGTAAATAAATTGATTTCGTTCTATTAAAGCAGAAAATATATAAAAAATTTGAGAGAAAAATATATATATTAGAATAAATCGATCAAAATGGTGCTTTTGGAAGGACATTTAAGTAAGTGGACAAATGTTATGAAGGGATGGCAATTTCGATGGTTTGTTTTGGAAGAAAATTCCGGTTTACTCAGCTATTATACGTCAAAGGAGAAAATGATGAAGGGCGTTCGTCGCGGTTGTGTTCGATTGAAAGGTGCTGTCATCGGTATCGACGATCAAGATTGCAATACATTCACTATTACCGTTGATCATAAGACATTCCATTTCCAAGCGAAAGATGGTGAAGAACGTGAAAAATGGGTTCGACGTCTTGAGGATACAATACTGCGTCACGCAAATCGAAGTCGTGGAATTTGGTCGGATCAGGGTGGTTCAACATATGGTGTATATGGCTCATCGGCTGATCCAACCAAGCGACCAAATTATTTGCAAACGCTCGACAAGCGAATTAGTGAAGCCGATGCATATCTTCAACTGATGATTGAACAAACGACAAAAATTGAGAATAAAATAAAAGCCGCTGCTGAAGTTGCTGCGGCCGCTCCAAGCCAAATAGTCAGTGAGCCTAGTGCAAGTACAGATAGCGAAGCAAAGGCCGATACCAACAAAGAAAGCAATATCAAGGAGACAAAGGATCCGAATAAGGTGTTACAGGAAAGTGCACATTCAATGCTCGAAAGTTTTAAGGTAAATTGCATATAACGTTTTCCCCATTTTTGATGAACTTTTCATTCCAAAATTTAAAAATCATATTTTACTATTTCGTTTCAAGCATTCGATAGTTTTGTTGCAAATTGCCAAGAATACAGCACATCCAGTGAACGGTATGTATCAAGGGCCATCGTTGGCTGGCTTGAATCCAAAAGTACCAGTCGGTAATTCGGATCAAACGCCAGACAGTACAGATACCCTCGATATTGTCGGTCCATCATCAATGCCAGGCGGACTGGTCGAGTATGGAGCCGAATGTTTGGAAAAGAAATTGGCAAAAATGTCAGCGGCCGATGTGTCACCGTCATCGATTACATTGGCTGTGCCAGAGACAAGCTACTCCAGTTCCGAGGGTGAAGATGATTTTTACGATGCAAATGATAATCCATATTCGAGTTCAATAAGCTTAAAAGATGCTGAAGACACAAATGAGCAATCCGATGATATGAAAAGCATTAAAAACGACACAATTAGTTCACGTGATTCCATAAGCACACCGTTTCGGGTTGATGGCAGTCTTGACTATGATGCACTCTACGAAGACGATGCCGAAAATGATATTTCAATGGAATCACACGGTAGCGTTGTTACACATTTGTTATCACAAGTGAAAATTGGTATGGATTTAACCAAAGTAGTTCTTCCAACGTTCATTCTGGAACGTCGATCATTGCTTGAAATGTATGCCGATTACTTTGCGCATCCGGATCTATTTTTAAAAATAGCCGATTTTAAAGATCCACGCGATCGAATGGTGCAATGTGTTAAATGGTATATGAGCTCTTATCACGCTGGCAGAAAGAGTTCCGTTGCTAAAAAACCATACAATCCAATTTTGGGCGAAATATTCCGATGTCATTGGGACTTGCCCGAATTAGAAAAGGATGCTGCAACTGTTAATGATGGACCGGTTCCATGGTGTCGACGCGATCAATTAACATTTGTTGCCGAACAAGTTTGCCATCATCCACCAAGTAATTATTAACATTACAAGCATTATTTCTGATCAAATGTAATCGGTTTCGATGTTTCCACAGTTTCTGCCTTTTATGCTGAGCACTACAACAAGAAGATAAGTTTCAATGCTTATGTCTGGACGAAATCAAAGTTCTTAGGATTATCGATTGGCGTGCATAACATTGGTCAGGGCACGGTAACACTCAGCGAATACAACGAAGAATATATAGTCACTTTTCCGAATGGATATGGACGGTATTGATTTAATTATTATAAAAAAAAAATGGTTCTCATCATCATTCTTCTAACTGAAAAAATTATTAATCCATATCTTTACCGTTTGATTCATAGATCCATCCTAACTGTACCATGGATTGAGCTTGGTGGTAGTGTGCAAATAACATGTCCACAATCCGGCTATCGTGCTGACATTGAATTTATAACCAAACCATTTTACGGTGGCAAAAGGAATCGCATTTCGGCCGAAGTTTACGCACCGAATGAGAAGAAATCATTTTTAAGCATCAACGGTGAATGGAGTGGTTCAATGGAAGCCAAATGGGCTGATGGCCATAAGAAAACCGATGTATTCGTAGATGTAAATAAAATACCAATTTTCAAGAAGAATGTTCAACCAATTAGCGAACAAGTGGAGAATGAATCACGTCGCATTTGGGTCGATGTAACAGCCGGTCTTCGTTTTAATGATATCGATAAAGCAACAACTGCGAAAGCCAAATTGGAGCAAAAACAACGTGAAGAAGCTAAACAACGCAAAGAAACCAGCAGCGAATGGGACACAAAATACTTCAAGCCCGTCGGCGATGTTTGGATTTACACGAATCCATTATCACAAAGGCTCTATCTACAGGACAAACAGAATAAGCAACAACAAAAACAGTAACCAATTTTTTGTTTGTCCAAAATTTACGAAATAAAATGAGCTCCCAAGACAAAGCAAGTGCGCTGGAAGTTCCGACACAATTTGTGGTTGATAAATATATAGAGAAAACATCCAAAATTAAAATGCTTTATGCAAATATATCAAGAAAAGGGAATACTAGGGAAACCACAACAGGTCACTAAAAAGCAACAGAGTAAAGGTATAAAAATGTTTAGAATTTAAGCTAAGCTTAAACACATTTGTTAAGCATCATCGAAAGAGAACAGTTTTACCAATAATATTTCACTATCCAAAATAAAATGCCGTTTCTTGTTTTATACCTCTTTAAAATAAGTATAAAGACGCTAAATCGAGCTAAACAGACGAATGAACTTTATGCATACAAACAAAAACGTTGTAGAGATTTCACATTCAATACCGATATCGATATTTTTCTTTATTTGTTATTATAATGCAAACAACAACAGAGATACAACAATATGATAAAATGATGAACCGAATACAAACAAAATTAGATGGTTACGAGCAGACATTGCCCCCTGAGGTTTTGAGAAAGCAAGGACTCTTTTTTGTCACCAAGGAGAAAATTGGAGAAAAATTCTTTCAATTTGCTGAGGTTTTTCGCCAAAAAAGTGATCCTGTTTTCACTTTTCGCAATCATCAGACGTATCTTGGAGAACGCGTGGGTAATGTCGGGTTTTGGTTAATCGGGAATGTCCAATACATCGAATATATTACATTGAACATTTCAAATGAATACGATGCTTAAAATATTTTCATAAATACTGCTCAATTTTAAAGAAAACAAAAAATTCATTTTTAAACACCACACGGTCAATCAAACAACAAATCAATTAATGTAACAATAGCAATGAAACAATTTTTCTCTATCTTATTCATTTTAAATCTTGTTTTTTTTTATTTCAATTGCCCAAAATTTTACAATTTTTTACAAGTAATACAACAATTAAAATAAACACTTCTTGAACAGTCAACGAACAAACCATAATGGCACATAAGCCATTAATAAAACATGCACTTCCTATGAGCTATCTAAAAAAAATAACACCATTATTACAGCAATGTGACGAGTAATCCTCAAGAGAGACATTTTTACAAGTTTTTTTTTTTCATTGTAACGGTTCGGGTTGTTCGTTTAATTTTATCAGTTGCCTTGGTTGTCACCACATGGTGAAAGCATGTTATTATTGTTCATTTATTTTTATCAAAATGTTCGACGAATTTTTCTGTTAATAATCAACGTTTGAGCTTAATTTTTTGAATAAAAGTGAATCGAAATTCGTTCGAATCGAAAGTGTTGCGGCTCGATGTCAATAGAGTTTCCAAACTAAAGTAGAAATGGTTAATTATATATGCATAAAACAATAAACTTATCTACATATGTATTCTATCACAGTTTAAAACAATAAAATTTAAAGAAAAATAATGAATGGAAAGTTATTGTGTGTTTTTTTTAAGTCGATTTACTTCATAATTCAGTGGGAGAGTGAAATAAACAAAAATACATCTGTAAAACATTGACCGGCGAGTGTTCAAAGCAATTAGCAAATTGCCTGTGATATGAAATAATGGGCGTCTCCATCCATTGATGCATTTGTTTCGCTCATACCAGTTGTTTCTTAGAATGATTCTATATTGTACTTGCTCTAAACCTATACAAACGTCAGTGGAATGCATGAGCTTGGTATTTTTTGTGAAACAACTGATAATCTGCTATCAAGTCTCACCAAAAGTGGAAATGAATCACGAAAATATTGTAATAAAACCCACATAAAATTAAAATATTTTCCATAAATTACGTTGTTTAAAATTCGTTGAAAATGATGTCATTATTTGTGTGATAAATTAATAGAAGTGAAATGTTATCATGAATTAAACGCAGAACAATTGTGTACAGACGAAAGAGACGATAATATATCGATTACATGAGCAAGTAGTACGGAGAAATTTGACATTTTTTGTGACCATCAAAAGCTTTATACCACTCAGTACAACGAAGACGACCGTGGGAAAAAGTACACAGAAAATATGAAACGAGAGTGAAAAGAATTGTTCATCTAAGAAGCGTTCAATAGAAAAAAAAAATTGGTGTTGCGTCGGAGAAATCGATGAACGATTGATTGCAATTTTAATTTGGTTGAATCATTTTGTTGAGCTATATTCAGAAATACAAGGCCCACCACAATGAATTGCGACAAATCGATGTGTTTGTAATTGTAAATTATTACGTTGTTTCATCGTTTTCATGAATTTTCGATAAAAAAATTTATAATTGCATTTTGTGTCAATGAAAAAGTGTATATTCCGTGGCAAAAGTGTAATCGACTAGAAAATAGAGGGCGGAAAAAGATATTTATGGAAAAAATCAACGTGGTTTTTGTGTAAATTTATGTGCCATTTTAGCACATTAATTAGAAAAAAAAATTGCAGTATTTTTCGACAACCCAAACCATAACAGAAAAAGAGCAAAGGTCACAAAGTTCTCGGAATCGAGTGTTGAGCTAGCGAATTCGGAGAAGAAAAAAAATATCCAAAGCAATATGGCATTGTCAAAAGGCTTTCGTATTTTTGAAAAGAAACAACCAAATCATAGCATCATCCTGGAGCATCGGCAACGTACACAAGAGGCACTCTTATTCGAATCACAAGCAGTTGCTGTTCTGTGTAAGAATTTTTTATTCGTCTCTTATTGATGTTTTTTTTCTCAACTTAATTGACCTATTCCATCTGTGTATCTCCTTTGTGTTCAAATAAGTTCATCTTGGAATTTTTTTTGTTTGTGTTTGTGCGTTTGTGTGTGTGGATTTCATTTTTCGGTATTCTATGTTCCTTCTTCTGTCTTCTTCTTTGAATTATCATTGCATGCCGCTGTGCTATCGATTTTAACCACTTTTATGTCATACACTACAAAGATGTGTAGATGCAAAGCCTCGCTTATAATAAACCTTTGAACTGTTGTGTTGTTTTAATTGAATTTTCGACTGAATGAACGGCAACGTTGTTGCATTACAAAAACTTTGTCATATGCAACCGCATTTTCTCACACAACTCATGCTTTATTTATTTCTCTGTGTAGCCGCACAAGAGCTTGAAACGATAAAAAAGCAATATGTTAAAATTGCTGATGCATATGGTTGCTTGGGAGTGCTACAAGTAAATGCTGGCGAATCGTCTGTATTGTATTTGGTGCTGGTCACGGGTTGTTTTTCCATGGGCAAAATGTGCGATTCCGAAATATTTCGCATAACACAAACACAATTTGTTCCGCTTCAATTTCAAGCGCCCGGCGAAGACAAAATTGCTGAGGTATGCATTTCGAAAGTGTCAAAGTTTTTACATTCAATAATTTCATTAATTTTATACATTGTTTTCCATTCACTTACTTTGTTGATATAGGTGAGAAAGGTGTTGAATTCGGGTACATTTTATTTTTCATGGAATACATCGGTGGCAAATTCAACAGCACCACAAAATGCATTTGATTTAACATTGTGCGCTCAAAGACGTCGCCGTACTCTCGAAACTGATAATCGATTTTTCTGGAATCGAATGCTTCACATCCATTTACTGCGATTTAGTGTTGATTGTTCATTTTGGTTGCTCAAAGCCATGTGTGGATCGGTGGAAATTCGCACCGTTTATGCTGGCAGTCGACAAGCAAAAGTAGCCATCATTTCGCGATTGAGTTGTGAACGCGCGGGAACTAGATTCAACGTTCGTGGAACAAATGACGAAGGTCATGTAGCCAATTTTGTTGAAACTGAACAAGTAATTTATTTGGATTCAGAGTGCACATCTTATGTTCAGACACGTGGCTCAGTTCCACTGTTTTGGGAACAACCAGGCGTACAAGTTGGATCGCATAAGGTAAAGATGTCACGCGGCTACGAAGCATCAGTCAAAGCGTTTGATTTGCATATGCAAATGATGAAACAACGATACGGTCAACAAGTCATCATTAATTTGCTCGGCACCAGTTTGATTGGCAGCAAAGAGGGTGAGGCCATGTTATCGAATGAATTTCAACGACATCACAAAGAATCGACGCATGCAAACGATGTTCCGCACATTGTATTCGATTATCATCAAGAGTGTCGCGGCGGTAATACATCGGCTTTATCGAAACTCAAAGCAAAATTGGATACTTGCTGCTCACATTATGACGTATTCCATGTGAATGGTGAAAGTATTTTACGCGAACAACGCGGTGCCATTCGAACCAATTGCTTGGATTGCTTGGATCGTACGAATTGCGTGCAAACTTATTTGGGTCTTGAAATGCTTAACCAACAAATTCAATTATTGAGTTTTCATGATAAAGCGCAGATACAATCCCGTCTCGATGAAGTATTCCGTCAAATGTGGGTTAACAATGGCAATGAAGTGAGCAAAATTTATGCAGGCACCGGAGCCATTCAAGGTGGATCAAAGGTAGTTAAAAATTCATAATTAAAACCACTTTTCTATGACGGACTCAAGTTAAATTGAATTTTTATTTGTTTCAGTTGATGGATGGCGCACGATCGGCAGCAAGAACAATTCAAAACAATCTTTTGGATAGTTCAAAACAAGAAGCCATCGATATTCTTCTCGTTGGTTCAACTTTGAGCTCCGAGTTAGCTGATCGAGCCCGTATTTTACTTCCATCTAACATTCTACATGGTATACTAGTTGATTTTGCATTTATTCTTTGAATAATTAACATTTTAATTTATTTATTGTTTAGCTCCGACACCGGTTATGAGAGAACTTTGCAAGAGATACACGGAGTACACAAAACCGATGGACATTCGTGTTGGCGTTGCCACGTACAATGTAAATGGTGGAAAGCATTTTCGCAGTGTTGTCTACAAGGATTTATCGTTAACCGATTGGCTTCTGGATTCATACAAAATGGCTCGATCACGATGTAAGTCATTACTATTGAACATCATCCGGCATAAATTAACAATTGTTTCACATTTGCAGCTTTGGTTGATATAAGTCATCCAGAAGATGGATGCGCCGAACCGTGTGACATTTTTGCCATTGGCTTTCAAGAAATCGTGGATTTGAATGCGAGTAACATAATGGCTGCCAGCTCAGACAACGCAAAATCATGGGCAGAAGAATTGCAGAAAACGCTTTCAAGAGATGAACCATACACTTTGCTAACGTACCAACAATTGGTTGGCGTTTGTTTATATGTGTTTATTCGTCCCGAGCACGCAGAGCATATTCGTGACGTTGCAACTGACTCGGTTAAGACAGGATTGGGAGGTGCAACGGGAAATAAGGGAGCAACTGCAATTCGATTTGTGTTTCATGGAACGTCACTATGTTTTGTGGCAGCACATTTTGCTGCCGGTCAGTCTCAAGTACTCGAACGAAATGCCGACTATGCTGAAATCACACGAAAAATTGTTTTCCCAATGGTATATACATTTTGTTTTGTTTTCACTCAAAAGGCATTTATCATTTACTGATTAATTCTCTTGCATGTTACAGGGTCGTACATTAAAATCGCATGACTATGTTTTCTGGTGTGGAGATTTCAATTATCGTGTCGACATGGATAAAGACGAAATTAAGGAATTGGTGAAACAAAATCAGCTCGGACCAATTTTGGAAAAGGATCAGTTGATTGTACAAAAGCAGGGGGGCAGTGTGTTTAATGATTACTTCGAAGGGGACATCACGTTTCCGCCTACATACAAATACGATTTGTTCAGCGAAGATTATGATACAAGTGAAAAATGTCGAGCACCGGCATGGACTGATCGAGTATTATGGCGTCGTCGCAAAATGTTGCAGGATGATGCTATTTACGATTGGAGTGAGGGCCGATTATTGTACTATGGCCGAGCTGAATTGAAACAGAGTGATCATCGGCCTGTTATTGCTGTTATTAGTTGTGAAATATCCAAAATTGACACAGAACAACGACAAAAAGTGTTTCATGATGTTATTCGTGATTTGGGACCTTTTGATTGTACAATTGTTATTCATGTAATTGGCGATTTTTTCCATTTTTTATTTTGCAAAAATCAAAAAATCAATTTTTTACAAAAATTACAAAATATTTCTTTTAGGCCGGTACCAATGACACCGAAGATGAAGATGCGCCTAGTATTTATGATGAGGATATCACGACAATGATAATTCAAGAGCTGGGTCTGATTGGTGAAGTGACATTAGTGAGATTTGTGGGCGAAACAATGTGGGTCACATTCCGTGATGGCCAATCGACTTTGATAGCTGTACAAAAGAAGTCGATTCGCATCCGAGGAATTGATTTTCACATTAATCTTAAAACGGAAAATTGGCTTGCACAAGTTGAACGGGAAATTGCTCTTTGCACCACAAATACTGTGCAATTGTGCTCTTCATCACCAGGTGAGATTGGCTAATTTGTTTGATTTGTGAATGATATTCATTAAAGAAAATGTTTGTTCACAGTTGGAGACTACAACAGTTTGGGAATACCGAAGGTACCACCTAGCCGTCCAAAATCACCTCCAGGTAGACCAATGCCACCCGTTCGACCACCACCAATAACACCAAAGCATGCACCGAAAGCAGGAGTTATCAGCATAGTCAAGACAGATCAAGGTCAATCACGACCGTCAAGTAGCGATTCAAACTTTGCGCCAAATATTCCACATCGTCCGGCTCCACCGGTGGCCGCTTCAAAGACATATCAACAAGAAGCAGAGCAACCATCAAATCTGTCACGAAAATCGAGCAGCTCATCAACATCTAGCTCAATTCAAGAAGCACCACAGAAAACCATTAGTCCGCCAGCGCAATCACTTGTCATTCAGGATCAAGACACTGGCGCCATTTACGAGGAAATTGATGATAATATTGTGAGTAATACGGAAACGACTACAGAATCAATTCGATTCGAAATTAATCATTTTTCTTTTAATTTTCCACAGTACATTCCAAAACCAAGAGATCCACCGCCGCCATTACCGCAGGACTCAGTATACGATTTGGATGTGGGTCCGAATGGATCAAATACAGCCAGTCCACTTCGTAATGTAGCGAATAGAACAGCACCATCAATACCAAGTGCCATGGGTACTCCGCCTCCCCTACCTCGCCGACAAAATGCACCAAATCCAAGCAATGCATTGCCGAAAGTTCCAGCACGAACAGCAGGCCCACCATTACCAGCACGCCCAAATGCACAGTAATCATTATATTTATATACTTCACATAACAATAGCGCTCACAAACCTGTAGTTTATAAACCAAACGAAGTGTCAAAATGCTTCAAACTCTTAGGTATATCTGTAGTTCTTGTTCAAATTAGCTTCCTTGATGATGGTATGTTTAATTATCTATATGTATTATTTTGAAATATGCCACAGACACATATAAAGTGGTAAAGAAAATCAACTATAGTTACGATTCTGATCTTTTCCGATAGAGAAATTTCAGTTGTATAAATATTTGTTCAGAGCATTTTTCTGTTTTGTGATCATAATATCAATTCAAAATCAACTGCAATACATGACATATTAAATTATCTACTTATTGAATTATGGCTAAGTTATTGTGTTAATTCAATCAACTATTGTATTTATTTTCTGTTCCTATTCCTTCGATATAAAAGATTAATTTCATTTAAGATTTATTTGGTAAAATATATGAATATAATTGATTCAATTGTGGACACTGCAGTGTCAGCTTATGCATACTCGAGATAAATATTTTTAAATAAAGTAGAAATCGCTTCAACCGATCTCTATATCGCATTCTGGAAATAAGTTGAAATATATTATCATAACTGAGAAAGAAAAGAAGGATGAACTGTTTGAAATATAAATATGATATTTTAATTTGTGCAGAAATAAATGAGTAAACATTGTAAAAAATTGTTTCTTTTTTGTTGACATTTAAGGTAAAATATGGAAAAGTATTCAGCTCTTTTTGGTTCTTGTATCTCAGATGGCTGGTGTAACAACAATATTATTTCTCTGTTTTTATAATGCTCACTGTGACAGCTGAGTTGACATTCAGTCTACAGAACAACATCAACATCCAATAAACCTTTAAATGCGACTGGAATGATTGGAAAGCTACAAACCTTATAAAACCTATCAACGTTCATTAGAGAAAATACTGTGTTATTTTTTCAGTTGAAAAATTATCCACAGTACAAAATTTATATGAAACTAGAAAACTCAATATATTCTCAAAGGTGCAATATACTTAAAACAAATTGTGTTTTATTTTAAAATCTTTGATATTCTCAAATTACAAAATGAAACTCCCCAAACAGAAACATACGAAAAGATTGAATGCTAGGGGCTTAATTCAAAATTTTCTACGACTGAATTTTATAATAATATCTAAATTAACTGAATTTTTCTGCAAACGAATGTTTCATTCAAATATGTGAGATAGTGGTGAATAGTTTCTGCTGGCAATTACTGCAATATTTATATTTTGTATAACAAAATTGTAAATGTTTTTTATATTTTTTTAATAAAAATTAATTTTATTTTCAATTTTGAGCGATTTTCTATCGAAAACAATCGAAAATATTGAAAAAATAATAAATTAAAAAATATTGCGGTTATCATAACCTCACTTTATTAATTTGACACATTTCATTCCATTCACACGAATTCACCGAACTCATCAATAACCACTCGATTCAAAAGTGTGAATTTACGTGAATTCCTGTGAATTTTTTTGCCGTATTAAGCCCCTAGATTGAATGGTATTTACAAGTAGTAATTAACTAGTAATTTTTTGTAAGATAAAATATGAGTGAGATAAGCTGCAAATTTTTGAATTTTTTTTTAAAGTTTTTCGATGCATACCAATTATAATTTCAAATAATATTGGGTGTATAAATTAATTTTGATCGTTTTTTTGGTGAAAGGAAACATTTATTTAAAAATAATAAGAATGAGTACATTAACCAATGTACTGCCCATAGTTAGCTATGACTTCGGCCCATCTTCTTGGCAGCTTGTCGATTCCGCGTCGAAAGAATTCCTCATCTTTTCCAGCTATCCATTGATCGACCCATTTTCGCACTCCCTCAGAATTTCGAAACGATATCTCAGACAAGCCCATTTGCATTGATCGAAACAAGTGGTAGTCAGAAGGGGCAAGGTCTGGAGAGTACGGGGGGTGATCAAGCTCACCCCGACCAGAGTCCCCTATCTTTTTTTTTGCGATGTTTGAAATATGTCAAATTTTGATAAATCCTTCGACTATTTCTTGTCGCAGTTTTTCTCAATTTTTCTCTCAGTAATCTGCTCAAACGTATTGGTTGTAGTCGATACCGATCCCCCGTGACAGTTTCACCCGGTTTCAGCAGCTCATTATACACCACACCACTTTAATCCCACCAAATAATGAGCATTACCGAGAAATCATCAAAATCCTGCTATGCAATCGATTTTGATGATTGTGTGGGATTGAACGCTTATTTTTATGCCTGAGGTTATCGTAGCAGATGCCCTCTTCACTTCCAGTTACAATACGATACAAAAATTCCTTTCTTTCTTATTTTTGGAACATTGTGCCAAAATGTGAAAAAACATCTAACAACTAGTTTTGGATTCAGCTGGTGTGGCACACAATTTCTTTGGTCTTATCTCATTACAAATGTCTTAAAACGATTGATTCGCATATATTTAATGCTTCTGATGTTTTTCTGATGCATTTTCATGCATCTTTATCGAATAAAAAACGCCAATAGCCCAACATTCAATTTTTTTTGGTGAGTTCACAGTTTTTCAACAAATTCACCACTTCTTTTTCACCAAATTCAATATTCTCTGTGGCGAATGAGAGGTCTCGTCTCCTGCAACATTTTATAACCTTTAGATGTATTTTCACTTTATTCAAAGTGAAAAAATTGAACCAAAGGAGACCAGACAGAAAAACACTTTTTCATCGCTCATTTTGAATCGATCAGAAAATAATGACACTGTGTCAAAAATAAATCTTTCTGCTCTGAATTAGATTGGCAAAACATGTACAAAATGCAATTGGATTCAACTGTCAAACTTCATACAAGTTTAAGTGGCGACATCTAATTGTCAGCGATCAAAATTAATTTATACACCCAATAGCATACATGATTCATTTTTTCCTTCTTATTTTGAATCTTTCTCGATTCGCTTCGAAATACAAAACTAAATGTAGCGTTATCAAAGGCATCCTTCCAACTTCGAATTAAATGATAATAATATACGAATATGTACGTCAATATAGACGTAAAATTGTTTATAATACATTCTTGATATGAACGTAACAAAAAGCTAGACAAAAACAGTTATATTTATACATTTATACATGGAGTTTTTATCAACTTCGCAGAATATCTGTGAAATTAACATTTACGTTCATACAAATGCAAATCTAAAAGTATGAATACTTATCATATTTATCTGACTTTTATATTGTTCACACGATTTTTATAGAAACTTTTTCATAGAAACAACTGCGTGCTTGCCGTAGTTATCTTAAAAATGAAATTGATTAAGTCTGGTATTTAGAAATGAATGTGAAATTAAATGTGAAAATTTTGTATTGCTGAGTTTTTTGAATATATGGTTATTGCTTCCAATTTTAACTCAATAAGAAAACAACGTTGTTTAAAAAAATTTGGTTGAAATTATTTCAAATTTTTAGACAAAAAAACAGGTGATGATTTTGTAAAAGTAAATGAGTCAAATACTATCTCAACATCCTTCAAACGTCCGTAAAACACATCAAATGCCAAACTTAAAAATTGATGTGTGAACGCACCTGAGAACACACGAAATGAAGCACAGTAAACTGACCAAGACAATAATGTGTACGAGTGTTGCTCACATGTTGTTGGCTTATTCCGTTCAGTAGTATTTGTCTTGCTCAGGTAAGAATAGTATCCTATATAAACACACCAACATTTTCAAAGGCAAATCTTTCTCTTTTGTTATTCAAATTAAAAGAAATTCAATTTGTTTTCATAACCATCTATCTGATCGACTGAACATTTCTTGATCATCTGAATCTGTAACAACTTGTTCAGAACAAATTGTTCACTAAGTTTGTAAACTACACTTACCTTTATACGTTTTGTGTATTGGTTTTGTATAAATATGCATTCATTCCTTTTTGCATATAATAGCAGTCTTACTTCTGTTGTATGCTCGTTGTTGCGAATATTATATAGCGAACTGTGTGTTAGTTCACAGGTGTTTATGAAAAACGGAGTGTTCATGAGGATAAGTGTGGATTTTAATATACGAACCAATTTTTTTGCGTATACCATACAACAGGTATTCATTTCAATTTTATACGAAAAAGATTGTTGACAAAAAAAATCACCAGAATAGACTTCATAATAATAATATGAACATTCAGTGTTTGCATCAGATCTTGAGATACTAGGATTTTGTCAATGTGGCCGAAGTATTCAATATCACCGACAAATATGTGAAAGATCTTGCGAACAACGATGACAATACAGAGCAATTCTTCAAATCGAAATTTCGACGACCGTACACATAGAGTTTTTGCGTACAAATGCAACGGTTCATTTAAGCCTTCACACGTTGCAGTGTATGCAAGCAACAGAGCGTCGTATGGCAACACAGCAATATGCTGATATTTCCAGATTGCTAGATATATCAACGCCGATTCAACGGATATATCTATGCTAAAATGAAACGTTGATACCGATCCAATTGATGCTTGTGCTAACATTTCTCACTAACAATTTCCTTTGCACCTAATTTACAATAAACTTGATTAAATTATGCCATAGCATTAGTGTCGTTATGTATACAAAAGGAAAATATGTCTTTAGATATGGGGCAGATAGAATGTGGATCCTTAAACCAGACCAAATATCGTGTCCAAGCGAATATTTGTTCTGAAAAACAAATTGAAATAGTGCCATCAGACCTTTACTTTATTTGTCATCCAAAAACCTTTTGAAGTTCATTGGGCTTAATTACTGCAGTTTCTTCACATAGATGCATTATTAGTTGAAGAACATAGACATGCCCTTATACATAGCAATAATTTTTTACTGCAATAAAACTACAAGATAAGCTCATATGAAGTCTCCAGATCTATAAACTATTAAACAGGGATTTAATATCAGATATCAAACTTAAAAAATATTAGCGAACAAATCCCTAAATAAATTGTACGTATAGAATAAAATTGATCAAAAACACCTTTTTTAATGTTTGACATTTATTATTGATCCGTCTTAATTTTTTGCCATACGAAGTGGCTATACTCATACATTTTTTGTTGATTGTATATGATATCATCAAACTGTGAATAAAACACGTGTGTGTGTGTGGAATGTGAAGGGTAAATAACAGCGGATGGTAAGATATGATCTAAAAATAGTTCAAAAATTATGAAAATTTGCAAAGAATAGACATAATAATGAGATTGGCCTTATTGTTATCAAAAGCAGAACAGAGAGTAGATCTAAGTAAGGCAAACCGCAAAATTATTATCACATCTAACAGCGGGTTCCATAAATAAAAATAAACATTCAACATTCTTATTGTGATAAACATTATTATTGATACATACCATACTGTGTCAAATTATCTCCAAAAAAACGCCGAAAATTGTCTTGATAATTGAATGAAACAAGCGAATTGTCTGATATTATTTTTTGTAATTTTATTTTTTCTTATTTTCTACTCATGGAGTTTTACGTACAATATCACTAAAGTGTTAATGGTTTTTGTTGGTATTTTGGTTTGCTGTTTGTGTGTGTGAGAGAGTTTCATTATATATATATTTTGTTAAATTTTGTTTGTATAGTATGTAAGTGCAATTTTTATTTTCTTAAAATTTCTTTGTCACATTTTTTCTCAGTTTTTTTGGCTTTCGT